CAACGTCCTGAACACTTCGTCCATACATAGTTATCCACTAAATGGTTAAATATATATAACATATGCTTTTTTCTTCTTTGGATTATCGTAATGTATCCACTTCGTCTCCCGTCACGATGCGATGCAAAAAACCTTTCCGTTTTTGCCGTTGAAGCAGTTGTTCACACGTCACAAAACGACGCTCGACGTCTCTCTCTTTCAGTTGATACGGCACCCAATTTCCTTGCTTTTGAATCATTCCCAAGGTTTGAGGCGTTTGCCGACTGTTGATAAGTCAACTCCCAATGATTCAGATAGTTCTTGAAGTGTTTGACACGGGTCTTCATCGAGTAATGCCTCCAATTCTTCATCTCCAAACTTTTTTGGCTGGCCTGGGCGTTCCTTGTCGTCCGTGTCAAAATCACCACTTTTAAACCGACGAAACCAGTATGCACAAGTGGAAATTGAAGGAGCATAGTCCCCATAAGCCTCACAAAGCAAAAGATGTCCGTCAGCTGCGTTTTTCTTCAAATGAAAGCAGAAAAGCAAAGCTTCCCGCAAATTGGTCTTCGTAGTCACAAAAGTTGACATGTTCACAGAGCAAAAAAACTTTTTGTTTACACTTCGGCGAAATGACGCATACTGGAAATTGAAGCTAAATGATGACAGTTTACCATGAATATAGTCACATAATGGCCCGATGCGATTTGAGACTCTTAGCGCCATCTCTTTTCAATCCTTTAAAATTAATTCCAAGTCCCAATAACTTCTTGTAAGACAAAACAAATGACCAAATTATATCAATTACTAGCAGAATTGCTTCGCTTCGCTCAGCTCAATGCTAGTGCTGCGCAACCGGAAAAAAATTTGCTGCATTTGGTTTTGTGTTTTAAGAATTAAAAAAACTAAAAAGTTCAGGAAAAATATAAATTTTTTTTATTCATTTATCGTTCGAGAATCAATATACGTAGCAAAGTGCGATAGGCAGTGGACATGTTATCCGATTAAGAATCTTTCAAGCTCATAATTTGAAAAAAAAAATAGTTTTTGATTCATTCACAATAAATTGCCACATATCTTACTGCGAGAAGACCTAGCGCCGAAGCTGAGCAAAGCGAGTTCTATATAATATTAGGACAGTATTTCAATTTTTCACAAAAGTGAACTCCAACCAGTATGAATAATTGACGCTATGCATAGTGCCTAACGGGCTAATGAAAATGGCATTTCCAAACTGATAACCAACGGACACACATACACAAGATAGAAAAAAAAAATATTGTCAAACCCAAAAAAATTTGTAAATTTAAATGAAACAACTTCTTTTTCTGACATAAAAAGCAATTTTATTATTGCAAACGTTTTCGAGAATTACATTCTCATCTTCATTCTTTTCCGAATGTAACATTAAAACATCCACCAATAGCGCCGGTAACAAATTGAAAAACCCACTTGGTACAATTAAAGACAGAACACACGTCTTCAATAAATCAGGCATTCATTGTGCATTATGTAACAGGGCTTATATTGGTTAAACAGGGAGAGTTTTAATTTATGGATTATGCAAACACTATAGACCATACAATCAAAAAAGAAGGCATTTGTCAACACCAGCTGACCATATGACCGATTTAAACCATTCTTTTTTTGGTTTTCGACTGTTAAAGAGCGTGCAAAACGAATGCTTTTTAAATCTAGTAATTTTTCCAAAATATGTATTTCACATTTAAAATGTTATCACGATATTTTGTCAGTTTTTGTTGTGGTGCCTGAAGATGAGAATGTAATTCTCGAAAACGTTTGCAATATTAAAATTGCTATTTATGTCATAAAAAGAAGTTTTTTCATTTAAATTTACAATTTATATGACTGACACAGTACGTAAATAATAAAATTTATCCAAAAAATTTATTTCGAAAATGAAACTAACTGCATATCCGAAAACCACGCTTAGGCTGCGAGAAATCAAACGATACGCATACCAACACGGCTAAGAATTCAAAAAATCAAAAAAGTTATAGTGGAACATACGGACGGACGGACGGACGGACGGACGGACATATTTTCGGTTTTATATATGTAGATTGGTCTATGAAACACCTTTGAAGAACCGCCAACAACACAAGTTTTATTTTTTTTTACCACCAAAACGGTTTGTTTTAGAAAATAATAATAAATAAAAAATAAAATCCACATGAGCAATAAAGCGAATACCCAAAGTTTGAAGAAAAAAAATAATTACATCTTCGTAGAAAAAATGAAGTTTAAAAATAAAAATGGGTTTTGAAAGACCCTAACAACACAGCCGTGTTAAGACAGAAAAAAAATCATTCAAATATTTATCATTCAAGAAAAACCCACACACGCAGATTGTAAAATGTTTCGCGAATTTTATGCATTTTCCACTATCAGTTGTCAGTTTTTATTTTAGATGTCTTATCATTCGTTCAATTGCGCTTAAATTTCAGTTGATAACTTCTTCGATCGGAGTAGCATGAACAAGTGGTCGCCCACGGTTTTTGGATAGTTCAAAAATATATATTTAAATGTGTAAACAGGAAATATAGAAAAAAAATTATCAATCGCGTTTGCTAGAGAAGTGTGTAATGTGAAAATGTCGTAGTTGGCAAGCAGAGCGTGTTTTGAGCTGATATCAGCTGCTGAGGAGTATGCGTTGCGTTATTGTAATGCATCCACAGTACAAAATTCATATTCCCCTCCAGATTAGCAAAGTCAAATTTGAGGCTGATCCGAGCGGAATTCGGAAAAAATAATGCGATTTAGCATCCCAAAGGGAAGCGTACTGGAGTTCTTTACTTCCAGAACACAATAAACTAGGTTGGGTCCACCTGCTCCCAAGATCCACTTCCAGATTTTCCAATTTTTCATAAACGCTATTCTTGAATATAAGTCGAAAACAAAACTGGTGAAACTTTTGAAATATTGGTTAAGCTGGAAGTGAATCTTGTGGAGAAGGTGGACCCAACCTGGTCCATTGTGTTCTGGAAGTAAAGAACTCCAGTCCGCTTCCCTTTGGGATGCTAAATCGCATTATTTTTTCCGAATTCCGCTCGGAACACCCTCAATTTTTAGTTGGCAAATCTGGAAGGGAATATGAATTTTTTACTGTGGATGCGTTACAATAAACCAATGCATACTCGTCAGCAGCTGATATCAGCAGTTGACGTCAGTTAGTGCTGCTGACATCAGCTCAAAACACGCTCTGTTGGCAAGCCAACACACAAAGCTCGATGCTTCTATCAATAAAGTAACGAACTATATGATACTCAATAGGTAGCATTCGACACACAAAAATGCCTATTAATTTTTCTATCGTTTTTCTGGCATTTATTTATTTATTACTTCGAGTTGGCGTACCTTTTTCCCATTTTCGCATTGGAAACTAGTTCTAAATAGCCTACCATATTTTTGTGATTGCTTCCGTATAAGCTAGTGCTAATGTCGCGGCAATACCAAGAATTTATATGCCATTTTTACACAACATATGTATACATGTTCAATAATAAGTCTTAATATTCCAGTTTGGGCTTTATTTCTTTTTTATTTATGCTTTTCAGTACAAAAACATGTAGACGACCCAAATTTTAATATGAGTCAGAGAAACCGAAAGGGTAATTCGTTAAATTCATTTTCATTATTTTTTTCTGGTCTAAATTCGATCGTGTATTACACGAATAGGTTCAAATTGAGTTTGAAAGAAAAAATTAAACAAAGTTCAAAGATGATTTTTTCTTACTGTTCATTAATATTATATATGCTTTCAATGCTTCATAATCTAAAAGATCTTTTGGTTTGTGTAACGTATGCTCTCTGATCAAACTGAAGTATTTGGAGATAGAACGTCTTGCCTTGGCTATGATTGGCTCATCTCCCTTCATGCGACTCAAGTTTTCCTATCCAATGAGAAAAATCAAAATGAATTAGCATATTTTCGATCATTTTTTCTAAATTTGTTTAGAAAAAACACACATCCAAGTCAAGTGCTGCTTTCTTTGCAATATTATCCTCAAGTCTAATGGTGCCATCCGTTGAGGTCCATGAGAATAAACCACCGTTCATTCCGTAAAGAAACACGTATCCCAGCGATTCAGCATCTTGCACAAACATCGGCTAATGGTTGTAAAAATGAAAAGAAGAAAAACATGGAACAAATCAAGGCAACATTATAATATATAATAAATCAAACGAAACCAAACTTCTTCATCATGCATGGTAGCGTTTGAAACAAAATCCCAAGATCCGGAGAAAAAATAGTATTTGTTTAAAATTGAATGTACAATGTTCTCGGTAGCACCAAATTCTGAAATTAAATTAACAATAAAAATTTATTTCAAATCAATGAAATAAGATGAAATCAAAAATTTACCGTGAAGATAAAGTTTTGAAGTTTCAGATAATCTGAATGGAGCCTTCAATTCAGGCACATCCTTGTAATAGTGGCAACCAAATGCAATATTATCTGCACTAATGTCTCTGTGCACGTAACCAAGGGAATGGAGCTCCTTCAATGCATCTAGCTGTTTGAAAATTATGGAATAATTTTCCGACGAACAATTTTGGGCATTTTTGCTAATTACGCAAGCCCTTATGCAGACATTTTATGCTTGCAAGAAATGCTTGCATGGTCCACAAAAGGCGGGGCTTGTGGTACAAAATGTGAATTATGCAAACAGTCGGCAAGCATCCCAAATTTTCTGCAATAAACTTGCAAATGTTTCCTGCAATCTCTTGTGCAAGGCAGCTTGCAAGAGCGCGTGCAATGAGCCTGCATATCTCATTTGAAAATCGTGTGCATAAGATATTTTTGTTTTATTTTTCTCTTTCTTCTGTGTTCGATTTTTCGTTCGTGACACAATGAAATCAACAACAGTCAACAACGAAATATGTAGTCGTTTGTTATGAATGTCAAACATGTAAAATAAAAATGCGAACTACATCTCTTCAAAATCACAATTTCACATGCGAGCTCAGTTTTTTGGTTAAATCATACATTCTACCCCTCTAATTTTTTACGCGCCCTTGAAATTTAATTGATTTAATAAAATTATTGTTTTCTCCATAAAAATGAATATCCATTTTTCCGAGTTCAATTTGTCAAAAATATCGATAATCGAAAATCATTCAAAATCAATTTTAAAAATCAATCTAAATAAAATTTTATATTTTAACTGAAAACCAGATTTCAAAATTCTTCAAAAATTCTATAAAATACATCGAAAAATATGGCGGATGCTCCATCCTGCATTATGTTAAATGCAAGTCCTTTGCAAGCTATATGCAGAGCATGCTTGAACAACTGTGCGAACATACCTTGCAAATTGTCTGCATATTTGTTGCTCTTTTGTTTCCATTGCTGCATTATTCTTAAGCAGTTAACTAAGCAAAGGTCATACAAGCAAGATTTACAAAAAAAACCATTGCAAACCTTCTTGCAAGGATTGACGTTTACATAAGGTCTGAGAATACTCAAAATTATTTGTTGGGTTGCTGCACACCAAACACGTTGGTTTTAACTTTAGAACCGCAATATGAAATTTGACACTAAAATCCATTTGAGTACCATTTGTACTAGAAAAAGTTAAAAAAGTACTAAATCACAAATCAAAGCTTCAAGTGTATTTATTATAGAACTTTTGAACTTTTTTTTAGAGCAAATGGTACAAAAACGGAGTTAAGTGTCAAATCTCAACATTGCTAGAATCATTGTGTTTGGATATTTTTGTTGGTTTTTTGGACAAATTATAACATGTTTTTATATTAAATGCTTGAAATTTCTCTAATTCATTTCATTGACAAATAATTTTTCATTTATTTCCTCTTAACTCATTGATAAGGCTCATGAATCTGAGTTCACTATGGTGATAAATCATGAAAAATGCGAACCACAATTACCATTTGATGCATCATATTGTAGCCATCTTCCAGATCCATTCCACCACTTTGAAACTGCACGGCTGTATATTGGGTCCATGTTGAGCAAAGTGCTGTCATCGTGAGATTTCGGCCATCGTATTGGATCAACTGGGGAAAATGTGGTTCTGTGTGTGTTTGACAAAAAAATGAATATTAATGAGCGAGTATTTGAAGTGCGTTAAGTATAACTCAAAGATAAAAATAGTTTAAATCGTGTCAAATGAAATATTTTAAATGCAAAACATACTGTTGGAAAGTGCCTGCAATATCTGAGCTTCTTGGTATAGGACGTTTTCGTAGCCATGTATCGATTTTTTTACGAGAATAGCAAACTCATTTTCACCCGATCCATAAGTACCTAAATGAAAAATAAAAGCCGCGGCTATGAAATCCATGAAAAAAGCGATAATTTTTGAAATCAAATACTTTGATCGCCTCCATTGATTTTACGCCTTGTACCTGAATAATATTCAACACGTTGATCGGCTCCATGTGGATAGTTAGGAATATTGAAGGCACTAAATTGGATTTCGTTTATGAATTTGGTTGGTGGTTGAACCGGTGTCATGGATGGAATAATGACTTGGATTGGTTCTTCTTTAGTTTCTGCTTCTTTTAACGGTTTAAATTCTTGCGTTGGCCATTGGTCTGATGTCAAGATGTCTTCAACGGTTTTCTTCGCTACATGTACTACTGTTACATCTGGAATGACCTCTCCTTCTCCATCCGTATCTTTTACTGCTGGAATTGCATTGGCTTCTATAGGACGACCCTCTATAAAGTGTAAAGAGAAAAAAACAGATTATTAATCCAGTGAAATAGGAAAGTCATAAAAAATCAAATACCTTGAATACGTGCATTGCATGATGCAATGAGAGCCTGAAATTGAAAAGAGTAATTCCATCAATATAAACAGTAAACAAGTTAAAGTTAACGAAATTACACAAACGAGCGGTAAAAATAAGGGAATTTTGTTCGCCATATTTGTCCTCTGAATTTTACAGAACAGTTTAATTCACTAATGTGCTCTTCATGAACAACGCTTATATATCTTAAAAATGTTTCTTTTGAAATGGTTTTGCGTCATGAAATTTTGCGCGCGCTTCGCTACAAGTCACATTTCAATACAATACGTCATTGACATTGATCAGTATGAAAGTCTGCTTTCAGTTCATTTGAGCAAATACATGTTGTTTCATTTTATCAACCCTTTGATGTACACAGTATTGAATTTTCCATCAAAATTCTGTTCAACAAGGGTGAAACATTCTAATAAATATTTAAAATTGTAAACGAAATTTTTGTGAATTTTTCACTTTACTTCAAGAAATTCGTGTCTAAGATATGGTTAAAATACTTTTCATTCCACAAATAATGCATCCATTAGAAGGTTAAATAAATAAATATCTGAATTTAAATCTTCATTCTTCGTTTTCTTTACATTTGCGTCGCAGCAAGTGTTTAGTCAAATGTTTTTACATATGTTTGGCGATACTTCTTTGAAAGCTCTCAATATATAATTTCTATAGATTCAGAGACACTAAAGTAATGTGAAAAAGTTTCTTACAATCGAATAAATGATATGTAAAAAATTGAAGTTTAAAGAGTTTATGATCAAGTGAGTAACATGTGAAAGTATGTATAAAATTATTATTCTATCGATTTGATCAAAATGAAACATATTGGACGATGGCCCATATGCGGCGAGCTGATGTTTCATGAATTCATTATTAGATATTTGAAATTTATATAAATAAATTCATGTGCAACCAACCTCTGGTTGTGATTGTAAATGCCTTTTTATTGATGAGTAAGTAAAACAGCCATACAACAACAACAGTGGTATTCATTATTTTCCAAATGAATCAATGATTCAATGGGCAATTCGTTTTGCACAAACACAATGAATCGATTCATACATGGGCGATGGGGTGGATAACTTTTAATTCTAATGATTGGGAGTGGATTTGGTATTTTGACGAGATCCATCGATAAGGTTGCCCTCCGAACCCACTAAACTTTAGATTTTACGTTGTTTCTCCTACAAAAACATTATCTTAAAAGAGGGTCAAGGTCGATGGACCAATCTGATACTTCTTATCGATAGATCTCGTCAAATTTGCCTAAGAAACCCCCTCATGAGCCCAAAAATCAGGTTTTAAAATACATCGTGAATCGTTGAACCCCCGGGTAAAAATACTCCACCTCCCATCGCAAGCGTACACAGAATTTTCCAACTGTCCATTTATTTGCTTGGACGATGGTCGGTGCGATTTTTTTGAAATGATAACAGCGACGTACACTCTGCATTTACCTTAATTTATCATTTTACAGTGTGGACGCGGATCATAGCTTCGATCAATTTGTATAAAGTCGTCAGAGCAACGGTTATTTACTCTTTTTCGCTCTATTTCTTTCAATGTTGTTCCATTTCGTATCATTCTCTATTATTATTATGATTTTCATTCTATATTAATGGAAATAATTTTTATTTCTGAACTCATAAGCGTGGTGGTTTTTCTAGTTTGTCTACTTTTATATATATATATATATATATATATATACTATATATAAAGTGAAACCATCTAAAAGCCTAATGTGTTTAATGTTTATCACATCGCGGCTCTTTATTGACTACAAAGGAGTCATGTTCAGTGAAATAAAAAAATAAAAGTCTTTGGTTTTAACTAAATTCGTTTACTTTTTAATTTCAAAAAACGTTATCGAATGCATTTCGAGACGTGTGACGTCTCATCATCAGCAAGGCGATTAAATGACTAAATAAAATCAATACAAAACATTATTTCGTTTACATGTAAGAGTATTGGTGAGGTGAGATAAACAGTTTACAATATTCATTTTGATGTGAAGAGAAGAAAGTAAGAGAGAGATCGAAGTAAAAACAAAACAAAACAAATACAAAGAAATTAGCTATTTTGCGAATTTAAACAAATGAGATTCAATGTTGCCGACGTCGTCTGCGTTCATGAGGTGTTGCTTATGTTTGTGTATGTATAACGACTCGTAGGCATCAATTTTTCTGAAGTCGGTGACATTCTTCAAGAGTGTGCAGCTCTCTTCGAAAGAGCCGATTTGATGCGGTGAGTCGAAATTGATATCGTAGACGTGTTTGGCTACTGAAGATTGCATGTGTTTGTGCTTAACGCAGTATTCATGCTCTTTGAACCTGGTGCCTAGCGCTCTCGTTGTTTCTCCCAAGATCGCTTAATAAACGGAGAAAAACGACACGCAGCCCTCTAGGCGAGGGACATTCAAAACAGTCATCGTACATATATTGATGGGCACTATCGATGCGTTCATTTGTGTGAGTGCGTTTGTGTAAACGACAATGTTCGTGTTCAATATGTGTACGATGACAGCTTTGAGCATTCCACGCGTAGAGGCGTCTTGGCGTCTTACGTCAAACCTTTCCCATGTATTTGTATACGAAGAAAGCAACCTTGTTTCTCCGATGTATTGTTTATTGCATATTTTGCACGTAATACAATAAATGCCGGTCTTTTGTTTTATTGGTATCGCGTCTTTTGTAGTGCCGAGCAATTTTGACAGCTTGTTGTTATTGCTGTACACTAATCTCATTCCATCTTTTTCAAATGTGTGAACGAGTTTGTTGCTGATTTTCGGCACATAGTTGAACGCTACGTATGTTGTGTTTTCCTTGATCGAATTTCGGCTTTGGCTGAATAGCGTTGACATATTCGCTCGATGGATTTTGTCAGAATGTTTTTTGACTAATTTTTCGATCATGGATTTATTGTAGCCGTTTGTTTCAGCTAATTTCAGTATGAAATTGTATTCTTTCTGGATTAATGTGTTTAATAACAATATTTGATTATCTTATTTTGATAAATACTTCTAAAATTTACTTCTCTTCTTTCTATTCCCTCTGGATGTTTATATACTTGCTCTTCTTATTTCGCTTACCATTCAAATATAAAATAGCCAATTGCAGAAAATCTGCATGTATGAAAAAAAAATTGAAGAGCAAAAAAAATATGTGTCATTGGCACGTCCGCAGTTACTTGGTAATTACAGAGTGGTTAAAATCTTCGTTGATAGCGCGCATTTTAATTCAATAAATGCCCAGAACGGACGGACAAAAAAAATTCAAGAGCCCTGAACGGACGGACGGACGGACGGGCTAAAAAGACGGACAGTCCGTCCGTTTGACACCATTAGTTGCGCTACATGGCTCGATATGAAAAAAATCACTTCCAACTTGAGAAAATGCCATTTTCGGTCGATATAAGGCTCTGAGGTGGTGCACAAATTCAGTGACCGTCTGAAATGGCACGCACAAATTATGCACAAAATATTGGTAGTGATTTGAGTCGGTTTTTTTCATGTTGAGGAGTGTCCAAATAAACACCTGGGACAACAGCAGCAGAATCCTTAATTTGAACGATTATGATGTCCGAATATTCATAATCGTCCATTCGTTCCACCGCATTGTTGCCAGCGGCAACAGTTCCAGTGTGCACGGTGACATTTGCAGTGCAAAAACCACCAGATAACACATTCGGTTCATTTTGTATTGTTTGCGACGCATCTTGAGCACTGGCATTTTTATCGATTTGGCTATTGTCACTTTTTTTCGGTAAATCAGCGCATACCACTTTGTCGGTGATTGGCAAAAGCGAAAGTTTGAGGTCCGCAATAAAACTTGAACACTCAGTAAAATTGGTCACTATGCCACCAATTGTGTGTGGCTGACAATTGTCACAATACCACTGTAATCCAGAAATCTTCGCCAAATAGCTCATCAAAGTTTTATCGAACACAGTGCTAGCATCGTCTTTATTAAGGCAGACGTAATGAAATGATTTACCGCATAAGCCATAGAATGAAATGCTTTTGTCACTGGCCACCGGTTTCACACACAACGCACATTGGGTCATTTTTGAGGTTATGAAAAACAATAATAATAACACAGGATAACGACGTGAGTAAGTAACGTAAGCAAAAATGTGCACAGATTATCACAAAGAGAAAACAGTAAAATTGATATTGACACGACAAAACTTTATGTTACTCCAATACAGCAGGACTTTACGAATAAAATGATATAAAATTCGTGATGAAAAAATGTAGACAAATATTTTAAAACAATAAAATAATGTGAACAAAGACGAGAGAAGACAAAAAGGCAACTGTCAACGTAGCTGTCACTATCACATCATATATGAAATTATATAAAAACAGATGCGTGATGCTTGACATTAAGTGTGTGGATAATTTCGGAGAGATAATTGTGCATGTTCTCATTAAGTTCAAATTAAAACAAAGGGTTGTGCATGCGACAAGCAATGCTTTGTCATTTTTTCTTCCTTATCAACGATGCAGTTAATTTCTTTATTTTTGATGTCTGCAACCAAAATTAGTTGAAACGCTCACCAGTTTAATACAAAGTGTTTATTGGAAACTATGTGGATGTGTTACAAAATGGTTCGTTAGAGCACGACAAGCGCATTGATTTCATTGCTTCCCCTGAGAAAGGAGAAATGGTGTGGAAATTAGTCTTCGGCTGGAAGGCGGGGTATCGTTTCCACTTTCTACCACGGGAACTGATGTGAGTGTTATCGTCGTGAAGACATCAGTACAATTGAATCAGTTGAAGCGATAGCATTCGACTCGTTCATAACTGCTGCTAGCTTTGTATGCGCTGTCGCCTTCGAAGTAAATTTTCGGCATACAATGAACTCGGCGGTGCTCATCTATGTCGACACCTTTGCATGCCAATATTTTATACACTGAAATCTCAATAAATACATATATGCGTGGATAAAACTGTACATATGTCCGTTTTTTGCGTTCGATGTATAAGTGAAGTTTAATAAATTCATAAAATTTTCATTGTTTTTAAAATAAGTTTAACATTTTAGTAAATCAACATTATTGGTCAAATCAGCTAATTTCTTCCGTCAAAAATTAGAAATGGTTGCATTTGATAATTATGTATGTTGCCTGTAATACATCATTCAATTATATGTTACATACCTTCACAAAAATTGACTCTCAATTTATTTTTGAATTTTCGATGGTATAACGGCTGCATTTGCCGAATGTCAGAAACACTATGGATTGTGGATGAT